CGAGGCCATTTCAGAGTTCTAGTTTTTCCTAGACGAGCCGCTGATTAGAAGTATCTGATTATCTGGGAGGGTATCAAGGCTGTTACCATGGTCACTTCCCTCTCGGATGGTCCCGCCATTGTTCTCTTTACTTTCGAGTCATCGATGTTCTTCTGACCACGAGAACGTTCACTGGGAAGGCCTCCGCGAAGGATACAGGATCCATTCGACGTACCAAATACTAGTCTATCGGTGCATTGGAGTAAACGAATAACCATCGCCAAGGAAGCTGAAAAATATTAGGCCTTCGTTGATTGTCAACCCAGACCTAGAATAGGCCTAGCATGGACTTGACACATTCCTAGTATAGACCTGGCATAAATATGAGGCAGATCTAATATATACGTAGCCGTAGATCTAGCCTAACCCATCTCAGACTTAACAAAGATCTGACCCAGATCGAATCGAAGACTTAGCACTGAGCTAACCCCGATCTGGATCTATTCAGACCTAACCTGAACTAGCAGACACTTCACACAGATCTGGTATGAGCGTACCCTGGACTCAGCATAGATCTAATCCCGATCTATCGCAAGTCAGAGATCGCAGAAGGAGAAAGGAGCCTATTGTCACTGAGATTTTGCAAAAAAAAAAGGAAAAAAGGGGACGCAAGGCCTCGATTCGCCACAATTCTCCCTCAATTTTCATTCTTGGACGCGCGCGCAATCTTTGATAACGACGCAGAAGATAATTTACAGTAAGCTGTGCGGCGTCTTAAGCCGCCGCGCTAAAGACCTCGTTTCTGCCACCTAAAGGAGCGCGGTTATATTGCGCCGAGGCTATCGGCCTCATTCCATCGGTTCCCTTCTTGGACTTGCTTCGTTATCGTTCCCTTGGATTCTAATCCTTCGTAACTGGCGGGACTCGCGGCGACGAGCTTCGAAAATCGTCGACGCTTGTATCGCGGTTTCATTTTTCATTTACTCTCTCCCTTGCGTTCAACGCCTAGATGCAATTGCATCGAAACTTTGCAATTCCAAGTCTCTGTTTAACAAATTTACGGTTTTGTCGCATTAAACGCAAGATGATCATTCTTATTTCGAAACACAAAATGAACACTGAGCTATCTCAGACCTAGAATAGACCTGGTACAAACATGATGACTGTTCGAGTCTTGAGTTGAGTCGAGTGACTCGAGTGCCTGAGTCTTGAATTGAGTCGAGTGACTCGAGTGACTCGGGTGTTCGAATCTTGAGTCGAGAGTTATAGCAAGCCTAATATAGGCATAGATCTATAACAAATAATACAGCTCTAAGACTAATTTTGCGCGAGTGAATACGAATCGTGAAAAGAATGGGTTCCATGTAGCAACAGCGTTCGATTCGTTTGGGCAAAGTTTTTCCACGAAGCTTACAGCGTGGGTTAGCGATATGGGGCCGCGGTATCGTTGTCCCACGAGCTCCGTGTCCGTTATCTGAAGGAGTGCGGATACGTTGCGGCGAGTTCATTATACGATCCGGTGCTATCGCCTCGGATAGTTCGATCGGTCTTATTGAATTAGTATTCGCTCTTGGGTTTGCTTTGCGATTATCTGACACAGGTTATCTGTACGTATCCCCCGTTCGTTACGGTTGTCGTATCGGCCGCGATAATTATGAAAGCGAAATGCGGTTTCGTTGCAGGGGCAGAGACCGTTCCGAGAACTACGTTTTCGTGGGGCGAGATTTAGTGCGAGCCTCGAACGTGTTTCTTCGGGCTCGATGTCGGGTTATGTGGATTGCGCGAGGTAATTTCTATTTCGCGTACGCTTCGTTCGAAATATAGTGGATGGGATTACACCAAACTTAAGATAGAGTTTACGTAGCGGTCGACCGATAGGAATGAAAACGAGAAGAACGTTACGATAGAGCCGTTCGAAAGATACTGCGGTTGGATACAGATTTAGAAGTTAGCCGTCTCTTTACTGGAGTTTGATCGACAATTTAGAAATTAATTGGTACTTTCGTAGAGCTTAAACAACGATGCAAATACGGGACAATTAAACTGCTATAATTGAATGCCTCTATAAACGTGAAACAGTATTCTAATAGAAATTTCCAAATTAACTGGCACTCTAGAACAGTTTCAACATTGATGCACGAATAGCCTGCTACTCTATTAGAGCAGTAGAAATGGATTATTACTTTTCTATTATTCAATATTGCTATATGAATAAAATGGTGCTCTCTGTAGTACTACTTTACTAGGAATGAACTTGACACTATATTAGAATTGAACTGGTGTTTTACTAGAGCTTGAATAACAATATAGCCCCTACTATAATTGAGTGTTGCTATAAAAATAGTTTTCCACTGGAGTTCGAACATCAACTTAAAAATATAGTACTAGTGGTACTTTGCTAGAGCTACACCATTGATTTAGGAATGAACTGGTGCTCTGCTATAATTGGCCATTGCTATAAACCTGAAATACTCCATTAGAGTTCAAATGTGAACCTATAAATGTACTTGGTACTCTATTAGAGTTGATTTATGCTATCAGACAGAGGCAAATCAATTGGATTTAAGGATTTTAGAAACAATGAGGTGGAAGAATAGAGCCTAGTTCAGAAATTATATATCATTGAAAGTACTCCGAGACGTTGCAGGACGTCAATGTTTGCAAATGAGAAGTTACGAGTTCAACATGTTTCAAAATTACTCGCCGATGAAAACGTGCAACCAATATTTGTTCGAGCCAAACATCATCAACGGTATTTGCACTATTCTTGAAATCTGCATATCTGCTAAAATTATTGAAATCCCCGAATCTTTATCCGAAACGGTATCAGGGCGGCGATAACTGCGGGTTGGAAAATTTAACGTCGACGGTACTATCGCGTTCAACGTGTTCGACGCTTCCATCCCTCGATCAGGGGGGTGTCTCGTCTCGATCATAACGGGCGGGGGTTAGTTTGATCTCAGATAGGGCTGGAATCATGGGGCGTAACGGCAAAGGGAGCCCACGCGCGGGTATATTCCGGAGGGGACGCTGAAAGTACGTTTCTCCATTTTCGTGTCCCAGCACGTTTTCTTTTTTTTTCATCGCCCGGGTTCCGTCGCAGGAAAAATCGTTTAACACAATTAAAACGCTCGTTGCGCGTCCCCTGGAACCACGACTCGTTCGAGTGAAATATTTTTTACATTAGCGTGGAAGTTCCGCGAACGTATTTCGCTTTATTCGTGTTTACCAATAAGATTCGCTCGTGGCCGCACGGTTTCGATTACATGGAATATTTGGACGCAGTATGATAACTAAAATCTGTAAAAATTCAAACTGCTATTGACCCACGAGAAATTTTACCGCGAGAAATTTGATTATGAATATTCATTCACAATTTCGGTGGTTATTTCCATGCTATAATGTTGAAAATAACATCGAAACTGAGCGTGCACGTATAGGTTAGGTGGAACTATTTCGAGGAATATTTTTCCAAAGAAAAAAAATTCATTTCAAATTTTCGATTAGTTCTTCAGTATTACTAATTTTTATGATGTATTGTTGATCGTATAAATAAAAGCGGTCGAATAATTCCCGAAATACCACGTGGCCACGCTATTTTCCCGGACGATACATCAAAATGGCGAGCGCTCGACACGCGAAGGAAGTTCGTGGCTGGTTAAATAACCGGTTTCCTAATTCGCCGCGCCGTCCGAGTCGCGCTCGTGTCTAATTGCATACCATCTATGTCGCGCCGCCGTTCTAACACCTGTCTTACGAAAATCCATTAGCGGCACCGCATGCACGGACTCGAATAGTCGGCTGACGGGGAAATTTGTAGCTGTGGTCGCGGGTAAACGCGCGGCCCGCGATTACAACCCCCCGCCCCTCTTACACCCTCCTGATGCGATCATCCGACGTGTCTGGGACGATCGTGCGAATTGCACTTTTACGAAACGCCTCGATACACGTACTGTGCCCGCAGACTCCTCGAAAGAGATATTTCGGAACCTTTTTGGGTCACCGTCGTTGGATTTCACTTTGGTATACGTTTAGTCTAAAATCCAAAAAAATAATAAAATAATAAAATCACGAAGGGCTTACGTTACGTGAATATTATCATGATAAAAGTAGTATCGACACGTATAGATGCGACGTTATGTTATCGATATGTTACAAAAATTTTAAATCATTCTAAAAGAATTTTTTTTAGATGCAGGGGTCAATTACAATCATTTTTTGTGAGTAGACATACCCCCGAAATCCTACGCACTTTCGAGAAAAAAATTCATTACCGAAAATATACTGTGTGGTCGGAAATGTTTAGTATTCTTGATTTTTGTCTTATTTTGACCTATAGAATCTGCCATTAAAATTTTTTCCCAGGGGTGACCGAACACCCTGTATACTTAATAGATGAACTGAGGATTCATCCCGGTGTCTAATCCTGATAGACATAGTAAGACTTGGTCATGGTAGATATACTAACGTTTGATCCTAATAGACCTGTTTGATATAAGGTTGCCCAATGTTTGAACATAAAAGTATTCTCACAGGTCCAAACCCCAACAAATCCAGTCTAATTTGCCCAAGTAAAACAAGTTTAAGTCCCCCCGAGAACAACGAGTCAATTTTCCGTATTAAAAAACAGGTGAAACGTTTCTGATCGCACTAGTCAATCCCCAACCATAACAGCTCCTCACCTGGATCATCGACCGAACCATTTCGGATCGCCAAATCTTTCGCCAACGGGGTTGCATAACGCGCGTCCCGGCTCGCGTACGTTATTTCACGCGGAAAGAATTCTCCAAGGCGGAGAAAGGCGGTCGCGAGCGCGTCGTATGCAAGCAAGAGAAACCAATTTCGTAGGTGAATTTCAGCTACGTATTATTCAGTCCCTACCCCCGCCTCCTGCCGCGCCACGGTTTCCACCTACTTGGCGGCTAGTCCATTAGCGGCGCCCTCGTTTAAACGTTTCCGCCGCTTAATCGCGCATAGCTAATCCCACTTGTCACGTCCCCCTGGTCTTTTTTCTTTTGCAGACTCCTCCGCAAAGAGAGTTGGCCGATTTTCCGCCCTCAGCCCCGGAAGCGACGACGACAGGGCCCTGTCGGTTGCATCGCCAACCCCGAGTTTGTTCGCGTGTGCCTCGAAGTGTCTCGGTCGCCGCGTCAGTGTGCGTGCGTACGTTGGCACGATAATGCTGCCGATGGTCGACGGTCTTGGTGATCGACGACGACGGGAATCGGTGAACTAGTGACTAGTGGTGCAAAATCGATCGTCAGGGAAACCGGCTAACCAGGCCCGCGTCCTAAACACACCCGTGGAATAATGGCCAGCGCGACAATGGGACTCCGACGCAGAGTGCAGGTGAACAATTCGCCGACCCCGTCGGGCCAATCCACCGGGTCCAGCAAGCGTTCCAGGTCCGAGAACAACAACAGCCCGTCCCACGGCAATTTGAACTCGATGCACGCGGCGCGGGACGAGCCGCCCACGAAGAAGTCCCGCGGGACGTCAACAAACGCCACGAAGGCGGCCTCCTCGTCGGGGGCGTCCTCGTCGTCGCCGGACGTCAGCCCGTCCTCGAAGGGACGCTCGGTGTCGCGATCGAGCGCGCAGGCGAAGGCGTCGTCGGCGGAAACGACGGCCAGCAACGGCGTCCTGCCCACCTGGACGACAGCGTCGAACATGCCAGACATGTCCACGTACGCGTCGGTGCCCGGACTGAACATGCCGCCCGGTACGGCCGCCGGCCTCTGTCCCGGTGGCCTGAGCATGCCTACCCCGATACCTTACATGTCCTCGTCGATGGCGACGTTCGTCGGTACCGCGACCAATCTGGGAAAAAGCTCGTCGGTGTCGTATCTCGATATCTCGAATATGACCGGGGGATCGTTGAGCTCGAACGGGTCCGGCAACCTGAGCTCGGGTTACGTCGCCGCTAACGGGAACGCGGGCAACGCGATGGACTCTAAGAGCGTGCCTATGCCGTTCCCCGGCATGTCTTCCGGCGTGAACGGGACCGAGTACGGAATGCAGAAGGGCCAACCGGATGGCGCTAGTCTGCCGAAGAAGTTCCAAAACGACGGTATGTTCAACGCTTACCAGCCGTGGGTGATAAAAACGTACGGCGATTTGGCGAAAACCAAAACGATCACCATTAAAAAGTACGCGCGCATATTGAGAACACTGAGGGGCGAGGAAGTGAACAGTGCCGAGAACAGTAAGTTTCGGTTCTGGGTGAAGAGCAAGGGATTCCACATCGGTCAGCCGGAAGGATACGACGCGAAACCGGCGGACAGGATTATCGGTCGTCACGCAGTGACGAGCCCCGGATTGGATCCTCCGCTCTACGTGCCCACGCAGCTACCGCACAACAAGGTGAGTCTGTCTCAGTGGATTATTGGCTTTTTCGCGATTCTTGCTTGACACGGATAGCACTAGAATTGGGAATACACGATTCGGTTGGGCTCGAGATTCGCGGGAATACCCTGTGACGTGATCTCTCGATATTAATTCAATAGAAAGTTCTTAGTCATTGAGTGAATCGAATACTTGTTGAACCAATTCAAACCAACTCAAAACTTGATTCGAATTATACTCAACCGAATACACTTGACTCGGATTGTCTCGAACCGAATAGTATTGATTGACAGTCCCTTTGAATCATGTTCAAAGTCGAACCGAACACCCCGTGAATCGAACGAAATTTTGAATGGTATGGGACGCCATTTATTTCTACTTCGAATTACCGGATCGAATCGCAGTAAATAATTCAAAATCGCGAACCCTGCGCCCGGTAACCAAACATTTACGAATCGCGCCGCGCTAAAAATACTTCATATTGAGTTCGCACATTTGTCCGACGATACGCCGAATATACTCCGACCACGTCTAAACTCGTTCAGTGTGCATCGGTTGGTGTTTATAGTCACCATCGTCGTCTCTAAATTGCTGGTTACAAACACCCAGATAAACGTGTCTTCGGTGCCACTTTGTCATCCCACTTGACGATTATAAGCGTCGACCAGTTTTGTCTATGCCTAATGGCGCCTTTTTACGATCAAATGATAGATAGCAGGAGTCAGAATTGTTATTTTGGAGACTGTTCAAATTATTTCAAACCAAAAGTCGCGTCTCAGGCAGGATGCACTTTCCATTGATTTTATACACATTCGATTGAGCAAGCTGGCCAGAATGGAATTTTATTTGATTTGTTTATAAAATGTTAACGCCTTTGCACGAGTCGTTCGATAAGACCAATCAATCGGTCCACGCAAACCACACGGGAAAACATCGAGATACCACTGGTAGACAGAGTTTCCTCCACACGTTCTCGCCTGTCGACCGCCGACGATTTCTCACCGGATTCACGCGGTCCTGGCCACTGAAACGGCGGGGGGGTTACGGGGTTGGAAATTTATTTGCCGGGCAAGTAGAAAAGCCGCGAGAAATCTCGGGCGCGGCTGCTAGAAAAATGAATCGCTCACGAGCCGCGAAAAGGGGAGGAAAAAGAAGACCACGGAGGAGGAAAAGGCGTTCGCTGTCCGTGGATAAGGTGGCTGCTTAATTACGTCTAATTACACGCTGGAGATTTCCTGTTTTTTTTTCGAGAAAATTGAGCTCGATCGCGCGAGCTCGCCAGGAATTAATTCCTGGCGCCGGGAATATAAATTTCAATTAGAGCCGTTTGTCAGAAAACATAAATTGTTATTTTCCGAACTGCGACGTTTCCGAGTTCTGACTTCATTTTAAGTCGGTTTCAATAGCGGATTCTATGGGCTAGTCCCATCGTTTCCGTAATTTTTCACCGTCGAAGGCGGAACGTTTCGTCATAGGGCGATTAGGCTTTACAATCCGCGGGACGAAAGCCGTGGGACCGTTCTTCTGGACGCGAAAAAGGGACGAGGTCATGGAGATGTTGAAAGTAGACACTGGCTGACGAGAATGGAGCGTGATCAGACTATGACACTTTACCGAACAATAGAATTTTTGTTTAATAACTTCAAGTAACAAAATCAGTTCCACTATTGTCGCATTTCGAGAATTCAAGTAGTCGAATAGAATTCTAATAGCATTCAGATAATCGAGTATTCAAACAGAATTCTAATAATTCAGTATTCGAGTAGAATTCGAACAGAATTCGTACAGTCAAATATTCAAAAAGAATTCCAATGTTCAAGTACTTGAATAGAATTTAAATAGTCAAGTATTCATCCAGAATTCGACTGGTCAAGTATTCGAGTATTTGAATCACCAAAGTGTTCGAATATTCGAATACAACCCTAGTCTAGGAAATTAGTTGCGTTTTCGCTATCGAATTCTTATTCGGTAATATCGAATCGTAGACTAGAACTGCGTGGTTTGTTTTCCTTACTCCAGTTCCGGGTGTAGATACGTTTATTTTTGCGATGACGGGTTTGACGATTAAAGTAAATTACGAGGAAGACATCTGGTCTCTTTTGCTTGACTTCTCTATTTAAAACTTGACGCCATCGCTACCACGAGGAAGCATTAATATTCGATACTCATTGTTGGAAGAGATTTCTTGATCGATCGTACGAGTACGTAGAGTCTAATATTTTGAGTGATGAAAGAATCGAAGTTTGAGATCTTGATTCGAGGTTTGGTATTGAAACTTTATTGTTTACTGCTAGACAGAGCTGAACCTTTTAGCATACTAGAGCGAAAAGATGAGATCATTGGACCGTTGTTAGAGGCACGGAACATTGCACAGAGACAATTAACGATACTGAAATTGGATTCTTGCATAGTTTCTCTGGCGAACAAACTTCTGTTCTATATCCATAGTTTCTTTACATGTTATTAAATTCTGAATTTATAATACTCCTTGTTGATGATTATCGTTATCTGCATATCGAAAGTTTCTTCGAAGATCTTGAATCGAAGTAATGCTCTATAAACCATATTTTACACATCTGACCCAGATGCTACGAACTACATCACTTTACTTTCAACAAAAATGTTATCCACACCGTTTGAAAAAATTGTTAACAAACGCGAGTACCTATTCTGCTCCAATAGTTTCTCAAGCGTCTGACGATGACAATGGGTTAATCGTTGTCATAGAACTAGAAATTCAAGGTCCATTCGGGCTTTCAATTTCTACGGTTCGAATGTTTTGATGTAAAAATGTAACTGTGCTGTTAGTTCCTCGAGTCTCTTTTCCGTTCTACGTTTAATACGTTTTGGAAAATAAGAATTCCACCGGCGAATTGCGGTATCTCGCTTCTGGATCCTTCTCAGAAAATGATTTATGGAACAATATATATTCCTACAATGTTCGTTTCAGTATTTACATTGTGGGTCAAGAAATTATACTCTGAAGAGGAGCCAAGAGTTAGTGTCGAAATATTACCAGCTCGTAACCAGCACAGTGGTGTCTGAGAATGTATCACAAGTTTGGGACGTGGAAGTTCTACGAAATGATCATTTTTTGGCAATACAGAATTTTTCCAGATTTAAAAGCGTTAGTATTTCATTTTTCAATTATTTAGGGAATATTTGTAGGTCTTTTTTTTTAAGTTCTATCAATTTTTTATTGTTCTCTTTCACTTTCATGGCTATGTATGAACATCTGGGTTTGCGCAAACATTGTTCAAACATCATGTTCTTCGTGAAAGTGTAAAAAGAAATGGGATTTTTTCATGGATCTGCAGTAGAATACCTCGTTAAATGGCGCGTAGGCATGTCGTCTTTCAGTTTCAGGAATTTTTGCAATAAATAAAAATGAAAACGGCAATAGATCAGTTTTCCGACCTCTGCTCGCATTTTTTCCGACATCTCGGTTCCGCGGCGCTCGGTTCGACCCAGATCTTGTAGCTTTATCAAGCTCGCAGCAGTTTCTCTGGCCACGGGTCCGACGTAACGCGGCCTTCGATCTCTGTGTGTAGTTGCCGCCTCCATTTCTCACGCCGCTCGTGGCTCGGCTCCCGTCACAAGTGGAACGGAGGATCCCGAGCGGCTCGTACGAAAAATTTCAGTCACGGCCCGCCAGTGATAAATAACCGATAATAAGTTGTCTGGCAAACCGAAGGAGCGCGTGTATGGTAATCCATGCTTGTGGAACAGTTCGATCTTTCCCCGGAATCATCGCGGAAAGGAAGAAACGGATCTTCGATTGGAATCGACTCGAGGTTTTCTCGGGGATCGCGGAGATCGTTCGTTATTGCGCTGTCGGCTTTCGTTTCGCGAAGCGTTCCACGCTTTCCGGCCTGGAAACGCTCCTTTACGCGTCCTGCTTTCCGAACTTACGTGCAAGGAAAGGAAACTTTAGTATTTATACTCTTTAGTCAGTTTTCTTCCTTTTTTCGAGCCCCTTCGTTCTTAGATATCGTTCGTTTTCAGCTTCGAAGATAGCAAACACATATTAAAATTAAATGAAACAATCTAGGATACAAAATGTAGTCAGTCGTGAAAAATACTCGAGTATTCGTATGGTCAAGCATTCGAATTCAATTCGAGTAGACAAATACTCGAATAATTCAATAATTCAATTAGAATTCCAACAGTCAAGTATCTAGTCAGAATTCTAATATTCAAGTATTCGAATAGAATTCCAATACTCGAGTATTTGAATTAAAGTTGAATTGAATTCGAATAGTCAAGTATTCGAATCGAATTCCAATAATTCGAATAGTATTTGAACATTCAAGTATGGAATACTCTTCGAACAGTCAAATATTTGAATAATAATTGAATAGTATTGAAACACTCAAGTATTTGAACTACCAAAGTCTTTGAATACAGAAAAATTCGAAATTAATCCCGTACCTAGTTCCTAACTCAAACAGTTGGCTCTCTATAACCTAATTTATTAGTATTTTCATATGAAAATTATCAGAGTCAGTCATTTTGTGATTTCCGATAGATATTTTAACAAAAGTGTTGGTTTTTATTTATTTACTGTATGATTTCAACCCAGCGTAGGCATTAACACTTTGCCGACGGGAGACGTACTAATGCGCAATTTACAAGACCAGTTTAAACAGCGGACTATATACTATACGTGAATATTTTAGGATAATTTTTCGTCATCTCGAACATTTATAAATGTGTCCTGCATGTTGTATTTATTTACCCAAAAATAACCTTATTTTCTCGACTATCTTGTTTTACGCGTTTCGAATAGTAGAGGTACGATTTTCTTACTTCGAATGAAACGTCTCATAGGCGAAACAACAATAATTTCCACAGGAAACGCAAATTTTCACGAATATTTCCATTTCCTTGTAACGATTTTAGCTCAACAAAAGCAGAACGATAAAAATTCTAAAATAGCGGTATCGAAGAAATATTTAAGGCCAATTTCTTTATAAATTTTAATGAAACATATCTTGTACACGAAAGTTTAAAAATAA